GGGGGCAAAGGGGGGGGCAAGGGGTGCCCGGTACCGATGGGTACCGGTGGGTGCTGGTGGGCACCTGTTGGGTGCTCAGTGTGTGGGGGTGGGTGCTGTTGGGTGCCTGGTGGCCGGTGGATGCCCTTGGGTGCCTGGTGGCCGTTGGGTGCCGTTGGGTGCCCAGTGCCATTGAGTGCCCAGTGCGGTTGGGTTTGGGTGGGTGCCCGGTGGCTGGTGGGTGCCGTTGGGCGCCTGGTGGGTGCTGGTGGGTGCCTGGTGGCCATTGGGTGCTGTTGGGTGCCCAGTGCTGTTGGGTGTGGGTGGGCACCGTTGGGTGCCCGGTGGGTGGCTGGTGGCCATGGGGTGCTGTTGGGTGCCCAGTGCTGTTGGGTGCCCAGTGTGGGTGGACATTGTTGGGTGCCCGGTGCCAGTGGGTGTGGGTGGGTGCTGTTGGGTGGCCGGTGCTGGTGGGTGCGGGTGGGTGCCGTTGGGTGCCCGGTGGGTGCTGGTGAGTGCCTGGTGGCCATTGGGTGCTGTTGGGTGCCCAGTGTGGGTGCCTGGTGGGTGCAGGTGGGTGCCATGGGGTGCCCAGTGGGTGCCTGGTGGCCATTGAGTGCTGTTGGGTGCCCAGTGTGGGTGGGCACCGTTGGGTGCCCGGTGCCGGTGGGTGTGGGTGGGCACCGGTGGGTGCCATGGGGCGCCTGGTGCCATTGGGTGCCAGTGGTTGCCCAAGTGTCTGGTGGTTGCCCAGTGCTGTTGGGTGCCCAGTGTGGGTGGGTGCCGTTGGGCGCCTGTTGGGTGTGGGTGAGTGCCTGGTGGCCATTGGGTGCTGTTGGGTGCCCATTGTGGGTGGGCATCGTTGGGTGCCCAGTGCTGTTGGGTGCCATGGGGTGCCTGGTGCCATTGGGTGCCAGTGGTTGCCCAAGTGTCTGGTGGTTGCCCGGTGCTGTTGGGTGCCCAGTGTGGGTGGGCACCATTGGGTGCCCGCTGGGTGCTGGTGGGTGGCTGTTGGCCATTGAGTGCTGTTGGGTACCCAGTGTGGGTGAGCACCGTTGGGTGCCTGGTGCTGTTGGGTGTAGGTGGGTGCCATGGGGTGCCCGGTGGGTGGCTGGTGGCCATTGTGTGCTGTTGGGTGCCCAGTGTGGGTGGGCACCATTGGGTGCCCGCTGGGTGCTGGTGGGTGGCTGTTGGCCATTGAGTGCTGTTGGGTACCCAGTGTGGGTGAGCACCGTTGGGTGCCTGGTGCTGTTGGGTGTAGGTGGGTGCCATGGGGTGCCCGGTGGGTGGCTGGTGGCCATTGTGTGCTGTTGGGTGCCCAGTGTGGGTGGGCATCGTTGGGTGCCCAGTGCTGTTGGGTGTGGGTGGGCACCGTTGGGTGCCCGGTGGGTGCTGGTGGGTGCCCAGTGGGTGCTGGTGGGTGGCTGGTGGCCATTGGGTGCTGTTGGGTGCCCAGTGCCGGTGGGCACCATTGGGTGGCCGGTGGGTGCTGTTGGGTGCCCAGTGTGGATGGACACCGTTGGGTGCCCGATGCCGGTGGGTGCGGGTGGGTGCTGTTGGGTGCCCGGTGGGTGCTGGTGAGTGCCTGGTGGCCATTGGGTGCTGTTGGGTGCCCAGTGTGGGTGGACACTGTTGGGTGCCCGGTGCCGGTGGGTGCGGGTGGGTGCCGTGGGGTGCCCGGCGGGTGCGGGCGCTGACCCCCCGCGCAGCTGGTCCGTGACAATGCAGACCTGCGTTGTGAGCTTCCGAAGCTGGAGAAACGCCTGCGGGCTACGGCTGGGCGAGTGCAGGCCCTGGAGGGTGCGCTGAGGGAGGCCAAGGAGGGCGCCCGCCTCGACAAGCGCCGCTACCAGCAGGAGGTGGAACGGATCCGGGAGGCCG